ACAATTCTTCGAAACGTTGTAAATCTAAATACTATCTGTTTAATATAAAATGCAATTAGTTGACGAGCACTTCTCTTAATGTGTTTGTCACACTGATATAACACAAATACTGTAAATGTTGTTAAGGAACACAACTATCATCTTAAAATACCAAAATTGATGCCCTTCTGGAAATAGATATTACATATCTAAAAATATGAAGGACTTTCGGATATAATCAATATCTTTAAAAGCAAAACTTTGTGCCTTCCTTGAAACAATATGACAGAAACGCACTTAAATACATATTTATTCACTTAGATTCAATGCGCTTTCAGTAAAAAGCCATGCCTTGAGTTTACAGGTTACATCAACGTCAGAACACGTATACTTCATTCAAAAACGTTGATTTGGTCAACAGCACTAAAGAAAGTGTTCATTGACTTCAATATGAAAAACTTTAGTTTATCGACCTGACACCGTTAAAACCCAGATCAAAATCTTTGTGACTTTCGAAAGGGAAAAGGTATGCCTCCTCGAACTATAAAACTAAATTTTCGAATCGGTTGTATGACAACTTACAACAACATTAACTAAAACTGTGTATAAACGCTTCGGTTGCTACTCGCAGAATAACACGATCCCATCGTGTATCCACTCACATAACCTACTCATGATCACATCATGTTATCCAATCAGTTGAAATCGCGTTCGATTTCACTAACGCTAAGACGTTATATCAACCGGAAATAAAATAATTCAACTCTAATTTCAAACGTGTTGAATTTTAAGTAATTAAACCGGTAGTGATTTTACGTCATCTTCCCAGTTGGTGGCAAATAATTCAAAATGGTCATCGTTTTTATTGCTGGAAAATCACATTCGTTATGATGATCACGTACCACACGTTTGAATGTGGTCACGAGAATAGAAAATGTGAGCCCGGTTCGTACTGCTACATAGGCAATTTACTAATTTGAAACATAGCAAAATGAAGTTCTTGAATTATTTTGAATTTCAACTATCGAATTCAATATCTTGAATAACTAGCTAGTCGGAGAAATGTTCACAAAAACAATGGCTCCAACTTATATAATATAGGGAAGTCCAAATAGGGTTTAATTAAAATATATCATTTATTCAAAAAGAGACAATTCGTACCACACAGAGTAATCCACGCCGAGTGTTTTCTGCAGGCCAAATCTGCATAGGGTATTTACAGATGTATCATTCTGTCTGTAATTCCCAAACTGAATTGATAAAAGAATAAAATGATTGGTCGACATGCCCCGCCATTATGAGAAATCCTTTAATCGACATAATCTAAAACTACTCATCTAAATAGGGCGAAGTGACTTCCTGAGAAAAATGTATTTATTCTTAGTACAATACCAGCTGGCCGTAACCTCACATAATCGTAATCCTTGGTCCGTGACAATGTTTGTATCCGTTTCCTATTATCTGTTGGCCTACATCTGAAGGAGTAAAAATGGGCGAAAACCGCTAAATTACAAGTTTCTATTTGAAAATCATATGAGATTTTACAATCGGGTAGATCTTTTCGCAGACAGACCTAACGAGACCGAATTACGTAAATCCTTTGCTACACAGGGTGTCCCATAAGTAATGATGATTATGGTCTAAAATTGCTATTTGATAAGGAAATAAAACGCTGAACAGTTTTCAGTAGAGGAGCCTACAAAAAACGATAAGCGTTAATAGGAACATTTCGCGAACGTTTATGAACGTCGAGAAATCACTCTTTAGAGTGAAAAGAGGAAGATATTCTGAATTTTGACGCTCCTGTGATCGGAGGATGGAGCCTTTCCAAAGCTATAATTTTTCTCGTCTGAAAGAGTATATCAAGTCAAGGTAGAGCATACAGAAAATGATGATTACGTCGAAAACAATAAAGAGCGAAAAAGATAAGTTGGCAATTGACAGTCACTGACCGTATTACATACTAATAATCTAAAAACAATTAATTTAGGTTGTGTTCTATGACATTGATCTTGGGGGAATGTCCGAGAGATATTGTCAATTCTCTCGCAAACAAGATTTTCTATTTTAGCTGACTTCTACATTAATTACATTACGTTTTCTAAAACCAAGTGGAATTTGCGACGGATACTTTGAATATATAGACTAAAGCTAGAGGTCGATCTAACATTAATGCAATGTGAAGAATGTGTTTTTAGCCATATCGAATAGATTTCTTAGATGGCCATTTATTAGTTATAAATATGCTTTCATTACTTGAAAAATTGGAATGAGAAAACCATGCAGCAGACTATTTGGCAGTCATTACATTATTGTTGGGGATTGGTTAGATGATGGTGGTTGATAATCTGGACCATTGAATCGCCTAGTTTTCTACGAGCGATAAAATGAATACGTTCGGATAGACAAAACGTTATATCAAAAAAAGTTCGGTTTGTTATCCGTCTCCGTTTTTAGTACCCTTTCATTTTGTTTTCTATGTTCGTTATGTAAAAATAATTTGCATTAAAAGTTGTACGGAAATTACCACCAACAGTACAAAATCGAAGATATCATTACAATAAAATATTATAAAGATAACAGAACAAAATCACTTAAAATTAGCATAGGACATTTTTAGTTGAACGTAACCTAATTTGACGTAAATATCCCATTAGTTAACATCTCAATAAAGGTTGAAGGCAAAACGACACATTCGTCTCTTTGTCACATAACTTTTATTTTCAACATACGATATTAAGGTGATGTCATTCTGGACGATTGTTAATTTACCGTTTAAAACTAGAAAATACATAAAAGTTTATACCAAGTCAGGTGTATAACACAAATTGATAAATCACATACTTGGGATAGGGATGATATCAGGGATGATATTGGAATTAGCGGGATGATATCAGGTTTGATATCGATATCATCCCGCTAGTATTCGGATATCATCCCGCCCGAGGAAATCTTTTGAGACTTCGTTTCGTCCTTTTCACACTCACAACGTTTACTAAATTACTAATTTCCAAACAATATTAACGTTTGTATTTCCAAAATTACTAAATTATTGTTTTCTCATCAAACAAATATTTCGATATTTCTCTCGGTCGCTGCATTCCCTCGGAAAATATTGATATCATCCGTGTGATATTCCCCATATCAAATCCCTCCTGGTGAACAACTTTTTTATCTGGACATCCAAAGGGGACAATATACGTCGGCATTGTTACTCAGTCTTAAATGTCTCTCGAGTATATGATATCGTTTAACTTCTGTGATCGCTTTCAAAATATTTTTGTTTTGTACACAAAAAACCTGTCGTTTCCAGATCAACTTGATTATAGGACTCCCTTCAAATGTCAATACCGCTGTGGCCTATGTAATCATTTTCTGATAAAGGTTGTCGTTGGCCTAGCTGTTGGGTACGAAAAATAATGTTTGGTATCAACATGTTTACAGAGTTAAACTTGAAGATAAATTTTACCTCGACCCTATGCCTGATATCCCCAACGGATTAACTCCCTGGCCATGACCGGCTCCCACTTAGGAGAGCTGTACCTGCGTAGATTTAGACTATCAAGGGCCAGCAGCACAGGCCCCGGGACACAAGGCAAGGACGTCCATTAGTAGACTTTTACTTACTCTGTACTTAACTTAATCTGTAATTATTTCGACTTTCATCCAATTAGTCACCACATTATTAACTGAAGTATATTTCCTACTTAATTTAACATTATGATATCAATTTAACAGCAGCAATTTAGCGAATTAACTTCCGGTGAATAACCCATGCATAATATTGCAGGTCCCAGGGGCGATTTATTAGACAGGTATGACAAGGAGTTTTAATTCTCGACCTAAGTATTTATTTGACATAGTGATTAGCATCATGAGTGATCAATTAACCTGATGATGTTGTTTAACCGTATTTACAGATTAACTAGCTTTAGCAAACTGGAATAGCCTGACAACGGTTAAGTCAGTTGCCGTTGTCACAAATGGCGGACATAACCGTCGCTTCAACCCTTCAATCACTTGGTCCTCGTTTCATGGGACTTTATCGTCGTTAATCCTGTGTATGTATTAAGCTCTTGTGATAAAGTATCATATGAAATCCCAATTTCGATCAAATTGGGTCGTGAATCGCCACAATTTAGCGTCTTCGATATCGTCAATGAATGAATTTGGGATAATTCACAAAGACAACGGCACATGGTAAATTATTTAAATCGACCGTTGTCAGGCTATTCCGGTGTGTTTAGGGAAAAGGTCGATAACATTATTATTGAACTTCCAAACATGTCATCGCCTTGGATGGGGTGGGGGGGGGGGTGTAATCTGATACGAATTTCGTGAATGCTTTAAGTCCTCTAATTTGAAGCAAAATGCCAAAAGTTCTTCAATTCTGCAAATCAAATATTGAGATAGTCCCCTAGTGTTGATAAATTGTTGATCCATATACTCAAGTTCATTGGTTCTGGCAAGGGTGAAGTACAAATCAGGCTTTAAATGATAAATGTTAGATTCCCAACTACATTCGTAAACAACGTTTGTGCTTGGTTATATATAAAGCGATTCAGTGAAGTTGTTTTACCACATGTCGACATTCTGAGTGCCTCGGCAATTCTACTAGGAGAAACACCATGGAGATAAAAATCAAATTAAAGTCCAGCTGATTCCGTGATCCCGCCTCGTTTTCATCTCGAAAACGAGCTTCGGCTGTCAAGTTTCCATATATGCTTCATTTGAAACTGACGAGGAATGCGAGCAAGTTGTATTAGACAGGTGCCAATTACCTTTAAGATCAATTATCTAAGTTTTCACACTTTTAGGAAGAAACAAAGTGCCTAACCGTATCCCTCTAGCCTATTATTTTATTATGCGAGGACAATAAAAATCAAAACAAGGGAAGTATGTGATGAACGCTAATCGGACAACAAGTGCTATGCTATCATAATAGTAATGACGGCAACGTTATCTTTGAACTTCAGGCAAAAGGAAATTAAAAACAAGTTTTTGAAGCCATAGGTTTCCTAGGATGCGTTTGTAAAAAAGAAATGAGGAACAATCTCTTGAAATTCCAATCAAGTATTATCATTCTATACACTACATCTTGGATAGCGTTATTATTTTATTACGACTAGTTCTCCAGTGGTTGGCTGACAGAAGAGCAGAGAGAGAATTAATTTATTTAGTTTCGCGCGAGGCATTGGTCTGGAATGAGGTAAAGTTAGAAAGAGATACCGAAGTACTTGGACTATCAATTAGCAACATAAACAAGGTAGGCTACTTTTTTCTTTTAAACCCAAAACAAATTGTGGAAACTAACATACATGTACAGATAACAGTTTTCATCTGTTTTTTTTGCGTTGAGAAATTGTATGAAGTCGATGAATGAAAATAATGATTTGAATCGATTCCATGATCCAGTTGCATGCAGTCATCAAGATTCTCAATTAAAACCATACATTACTTTGATAGACAGCCTTAATTAAAGTCATTCAGTTATCTTTAATTGAAGCTGCAGTATATGGATGACTGAAAAATCTCAAAGAACTTTTTTAATTGAATAACCACGTCGATTATGTAATTTTTACTGTAAATAATTAATATTTTTAATTGTAATTTTTTATTAAAAGAACAACAAAATTACATTGAAGCATTATCGAAAAATTAAACCGCGGTTTCAATCACAGTTTGGATTGGGTTTCCTCAAAGTGTCACTCAAACACAAGTCTTTCAGATTACCTGTAATGTAGACTACATGAAATTGTTAGCACATGAAACTTAACCTACACTGTATACATGCAGCCATCTGGATAGTATTCAGAACTTACAGCAGTTTACGCCAAAGCAATGAAAACACGCATTGTTTTTTTGTTAGTGAACAGCTTCAGCCAGTGGTTGTTCATAAAAAACCATCAGACTGGTTGGTTACTAAACAAGCGTTTTATCAACAGACACCTATAAACTGACACACATATTCGTAAATGAAGCACACGTTACAATGTATAGAAGTAACCAAACGCTTTAAAACCAAACAAGTGAGATCATATTTAAGAACTTAACAGTCTGACGGATTTTTAGGAGGAATAGAATTAAGGTGTTCTTGATCAGGAGATTTTAGAATTTAAACAAACCGAGGCATTTCTTGAATTGTGGTTGCCTCTAGAGCCTCTAGTAATGGTCATAAACGAAGATATTTTAGGAACTATAAACACATAGCCTGGCAAACGAGTCCCCTTCTTATCAAAGTTACCTTCATAAAAACCCAGCAATAAGAAACTGTGACGACGTCTAGTGAAATAAACAAGAACCGCTTCATCAGAAAAATATCTTGACTGCGGGAGCAACATAATAGAGAGCATGGCATATAAAATTGAAACGACAACGTATGCGTATAAATCACCCATATACATTGCATGTAGCTTTCTCTTCGTTCAGTTACATTTTTTACTTAGACTACACCACAGCATGTTTTATGTCATTAATAGTTTTCTAGCTTGTTTTCTGATATGTATTTTAAAAATGCTTGTTTCCTAAGACGTGTCGCAAAAAGCTCGCGCACGCATTGTTACACATTTTGTGGCGTAATCCAGAGGATCCTCGCTTTTAACATGATAGAATGTGACGTTTTTGAGAAAAATGTACACACATGAAAATCCTTTCGTCCTCCACATTTACCTCTATATCTCAAAACATTTTAGACGAATAACTCTGATATCATATATATATTGTTAATGGGCTAGGTGCATCATAAAACACGAATCAATTGATATTTTAGGTGAAATAAATATACGTGTTGCTGTGCTTGAAAATAGGCGAATGGCGTAAATTAGCCCTATTTTAATGAATTTTGAAAACTTTCGTCCTCCACTTTTCCACATACAACAGAAAACACATACTTTTGTGAACAAAATCAACTATTTATTAATAAACTAGAGTTTAGGAGCAAAATAATCATGTATGATTTATTAAAAATTGATCTCGTATTTTTTGTTTAATGTACACCTGAAAAGTTGAAGGTACCAAAAAATGAGCAAAAAAGGTCGCTGTCAACAGATTCTATTTTTCAGACTCTATGACGTCACAATATGGGACGCTAACTAAAATTCATCCTTTGAAATAAAACTTCCATCTACCTTTATCAAGACGAAAAATAAGTATAATAGTCATATATTGTTTGAGTTATGAGCGTTAAAAGACGAAAAATAATTCAAAATGTAACGTGTCAACATGGGATATTTGCCAGATGTTTTGGTAAAAAACTCTTTTTTAAAAACGAACGCGCAAAAAAATGTGAACGGAGTGTAGTTGATCTAAAATCTTCATCGAAACAGCTTTAAAATGACATATAACTTTAATTAGAATATTATCTTATAATCCGGGGAATCAAAGTTACATTCACGCGATACCCTTAAAAAACAAATGCACCACCTTTTTGCGACACGTCTAAGATATTTGGAGCTAAAACATGAACAACATACATCATTTTCATCGGAAAGCATTATCACTGTGCATCGAAATCAAAATTGCTAACATAGTATTCAATAGTCATGAGTACAATGATTTCCGTTGACACCAATGTGAAATTTCAAATTTTCCGTTCTTAACACGAACTTGTGAAACTGAACAGGTATCTGAAGTAGACTATTAGTAAGTAAAAACGCTTGTTTTGTATGAGCGCCAGATACACATTCCTATATTGATTCATGGCGTACTTTCCGTTCACGGTTACGTCGTCGAAAAACAGTGCAAGCTTAAAGTCTCCATTTAGGCGTTTGGATTGTTAGACATAATGAAGTATGATATTGTCCATGAACTTTATCAGATTAAGCCAAAGCCTGAAATGGAGTTCCTAATAACAAAAACTTGTGATTCTATAACTTGATATTTTCTGTAAATTCTCTTGTTTCCACCTTGCATATTGCATTTTGAAATCTCATCAGTTAAAATACGAACGACGTATTCTTTTCGCTAGTAAACTACTTCGTTACCGTAGTGACGTTGGCCGTTAACTATTAAGAGACATGATGTAAAGAACTTAATGTGATGCAAACTACTTCTCTAAATACCATGAAGTATAAGGTCAATATAAGCTAAGTTTATTATGATCCATATCTGAGAATCGTCACTTGTCGGCATTTAAATGAAATCCTGACATGCCTGATATGGTTTAGTTCTTTAGGTTCGATCTTGTTGAGTATGTTTCCCTTAAGCTGAATCATGTATCTTTTCATGGCTTTGAAGGCCGCCTAGTCGAATCCTTTTGAGTTTTACTTTTCAAATATATCCAATGGTAGTCGTCTCACACTTTCATGCTAAGTGTGTACTTTCGAATTGAAGACGTTTGGCCTACATACAACTTATTGTTGAATTTCTAAAAAATTCATAATCAACCACGAGCCATATATTTGATTTACGTTAGAGCAGCTTAGCCCGGATCAAGATATCTCATATTTTGTCTTTTCGACACATTGATAGTGATAGTCAAGTTGTTAGAGTTATAACATATTCCGAAATGACCAAAGATTTAAGAACTTTGTTACTTCATTTCATGCTGAATGTCATCACTGCATATCTTACGTTGAATCGTTTGATTGTTGAATTATACCAGTGCATCTATTCGAATTAGATCGTTTGATCGTTGAATGATATAACAACATCAATTGAACATTGAATCGTTTGATTGTTAAATGATTGAACATTGGATACCACAACTGCATCAATCAAACATTAGGTCGTTTGATTGTTGAATGATCACTGCATCAAATTAACATCGAATCGTTTGATTGTTGAATGATCACTGCATCAAATTAACATTGAATCGTTTGATTGTTGAATGATCACTGCATCAAATTAACATTGAATCGTTTGATTGTTGAATGATCACTGCATCAAATTAACATCGAATCGTTTGATTGTTGCATGATTACTGCATCAAATTAACATTGAATCGTTTGATTGTTGAATGATCACTGCATCAAATTAACATTGAATCGTTTGATTGTTGAATGATACAACTGCATCAATTAAACATAGGACCGTTTGATTGTTGAATGATACAACTGAATCAATTAAACATTGAATCGTTTGATTGTTGAATTCACCAATTGAATTATACCATCAATTAAACACTTGATCGTTTGATTGTCAATTAATGATACAACTGCATCGATTGAACATAGGACCGTTTGTTTATTGAATGCTACCGCTGCATCAATTGAACATTGGATGAGTTTATATTTATGGAATCTGGGTAATCTCAAAGTTGACAAACAATATTTGAAACCATGTTTTTAGATGTAATTTGAAATGTAAATATCACTTTGATTGAATTTTGAATACTTAATGATGTAAGCCAAAATTATTTCTACTCGCATCTAGTCTAATGTTGTGTGCTACCACAGCATACTTTGTACATTAACTCATTTGATTCCTGAATGATACTACTGCATCGATTAAACATTTGATCGTTTGATTGTGAGTTTATTTACCACTTCAATATTTGTACGTTAAATCATTTGACTGCTGAATGATACCCCGATTGCACTGTTGAATGATATGAGGTAATTTACTATTAAAAAGAGTAACAAATGAAGTGTGGTATTAAACTATCCAAGTGCATAATAACACATTTGTTAGAAACTAAACACGATGAAATAATGGACTAAATCTCCTGTTTCAATATAAATGGTTTTGTAACCCAAGTAGAAAATTAATGACCGTGAAACTTCTATTGCCGTAGTACCTAACACCAACGTTTAACAAAAGACGAATCACAAAATACAGTGACAAACAAAACCGTACAGGGTGGCCCACAGTATTCTAGATTTAAACCCTGAGCATTGCATTGCCACATGTTTTTAATATTATTCAATGCTTTATTGTACTAAAAATCCCTTTCGGGTAAATGTACAGCAAATAAACATGATAAAAATAAAAACTATACATACAATTACAATAACATACAATGCAAATTTTACATGGCATACAATGACAATATAATGCGATTGACTGATCATTATTAGATATATATCAACCACTGCTATTTGCCTACATGTATATATTTATAATGTTAATATAGTTGATCTCTTTTCAATTATTTCATGAAGGTATTTTGCAAAGGTGATACATATGTTACCCCCAGCATTAAACATATAATAAGCCTTTTTTTCGGGAGTCAATACAGTTAGATTTGGGCAAATCGAGTTAAACGTATCAAAGTATTCATTTCTCATTTTTCCCAATTTATGGCATTCAAAAATAAAATGAGTTTCC